CTCACCAGATGATAAACCCAATATCTTTAGGCTTTTTAGTAAGTAAGTAAGTAAATCATTGAATTGGAATCTAGATATTCATAGTTCTCACTTTGCGCAAATGAAAATACACATTAAAGCGATTATTTAATGGTGCCGATGATACTTCAGTTCACCAAGAAGCATCAATTCCCTTAAGACTACAGCTGCACCTTATAGGTGAGTACCGAACAGAACAAACCCTATGCCTAGGATTTCCTGTACATTACTTACAAATATTAACTTACATGTCAATATAGTGCCCACGACCTCCGGTCACTTAGAATTGTGTCCACGAAGAAGGAGTTGATATACATGACATAGGCCACCACTGATTTAACAGTACTCACTTAACATATTAACTTATTCAAATTAACATTTCATAATATCGATTTCAACATATACCATTTTATTATATTTTACAAACAGTCTTCAGTTTACATGCTATATTTTTAAACTGTGTAGTCACATTAAACTTTTTAAATTAATAATTTGTTTCTGTACCTGTAAAACCTAAAGAGAATTTATTGAAAAAAATATTCTTCACTCAGATATTTAAGCTTTTAATAAGATGAGCATTTGTCAGTACTACCCCAGTAAGTAATCATCGGTCACAAGTTCTACTTCGAATAATGTAAGTCCATCTCTACATTCTAAATAGTAATTCAAATACTAACCAATTTTCTTATCAAGAAGAAAAAACTAACCAAAATTCACTGAGATAAATTTGGCTTTTGACAAAAGAGTCTAATATAATCTTATCTAAAGTTTTTTATTGGTGCACAGATTAATATTGTTTCAAAAACTGGATATTAAAAAATTTCATTTATCATAAAGGACTTACTTGTATCGGTTACCTCTAATGGTGCATAGGTCACTGACTAGCATTGTCTAACTAACTCTGTCCTGGGGGCCTTCCTTTCCAGTTCTATATCATAAAAAAACTATAAGTTAAAGGCTTCTTAAAAAATATTTGAGATAAAGGTAGTTTATAAATTAGAATTTTCATAGTTAACTGTTCACTTGATGATTAGAAAATGAAATAAAATAAGTAAATATTATTATATCGTAGAAAAATTAGAAAGGAAATAAGAATCATGGAACAATGAAGGATTGGACATGGTTCTTTTAAGCGCAAGGTTTAAGTATGAATTGCTTTTACTGTCCACGTGTTAGTTATTTACACATTTGACCTTGAGATGGATTAATTTGTCCTGATAAAGTAACTAATGATGTCAGATAATCTTAATCTGCTGACTAATTTAATAACCAGTCAGGATAATCCGTGTTTAGATATTTAGAAAACTTTTATTGTTGAACGCATTCAAACGTCTGCTTAAATTAGGTGTTAAAACATCTGATAGCGGTAAAACTCAGAAGTAATGATACAAAGCTATGTTGATTATTAATTAAATTTAACCAAAAGAGGTTTAAAAAGTGTGACGGATGAAAAACACTGTCATAGTTTAAAACAATTTTAACACAATTTTTTTTATAAATATCTGAATGTAGCATTTTGTAGTAACTGATAGTTTACTGTAAAGTCTTTAATAATAACCAGAGTCGAGTAATCAAGTGGCTAGTAGGTTAAGTACATCAAAATAATACTATCAAATATAATGTGGCTGGTTGCAACTAGATAGAATTCTTGCAGTAAAGTTTGACGTCAACTAAAGCTCTTCACTAAAGCGTTTCTCCCACTCAATGTTATGATGATAGGCGTTAGCATTAAGGTATTTAAATTGCAAACGATTCCCCACAAGATCTGAGTGTTTGCAATGATTGGTGACTTGGGTGGTGCTGATCTGAGTTCCAGTGTGGAACTTCTTCCTAACGAGTACTGATGAATACAAAAACTAAACTTATGATTCCCCCTGTAAAATTCTAATAGATATCACTCAGTGTCATAGTTAGAGATATTAGCATTGAGTTATTCGGACTGAAAGTAACCTTTGTAATCTATGCGCTAAACATCTTAAATTCTACTTCTATGAAGAAATAAAGAGTTTAGAAAATTTAATTTACATATTGAGAAAATTTTCTGTTTTACTCACATTTAAAAATAATTCAACATTAATCATCACGTGTACAAATCCATGTTATGCAATCTCAATTATGATTTATTATATCACTTGTCTAGAAAATCAACCCAACTTTTATATGTAAACATTACAAATATAACCCTGTAATCATAGTGATTTAGATTTATTCACAGTAGTAATTAATTTGGCAACATTACAGTTTTGTATGCTACATTGTAACAATAAAAAAATTATCAGTATGATAAATGCGATCCATAAATCAAGTTTAACATCGTACACATAGGTGTTATAGAAGAGATTACAACTTTTCATTAGATAACCGTTTGGTAATTTTTTTTACTGTTAATGATTCAGAGATAAAAGGTCAATTTGATAAAACACATCAATTGTATAAATGTTTATCGGTTGCTAACTTAAACTGAAATTAGGCAACTCAGTATATTTCAACAATACATATATAGTTTAAACATGATTTATATGAAAGAGTCTTGAAGGTTGGTTTAGTTTGTATGTTGTATTCATTATAAATTAATTTCAGTTGTAATATCATTGAGAATAGGAAGTACTGGACAGTTGTTTCCTACTAGTATGAAAATCTCTCTGGCAGTATGTAGACATGACCCTAGCAGTGGTTAATGCTAAAACCCCTTTGGTCTCAAGCAGAACTCTTGGAATTATCCAAGTTGGCGTCTGGTCGTACAATTCAAAATTTAATTAATTCATGATATAACACAAGGATCTTTCAATGTCATTGGTGACAGTTGTTTTACTTTCTATATATGTCTGAACTCTGTGAAGAATACAACATAAAACCTATTTACACGAAACCCGCTCTAGTTGGTGTTAAGATGCATTGAAGGTTTTTGCGCCGAAGTCATGAATGTTGTAGTTTGTGATTCTGATGGTTAAGCATACTCTGTGAAACTTGGAAGTTCTGAGTTCCATTGCTGACAGAATTATGCATTATTAAGGAGTCGCATATTAACCTGAAACAACTGTTTAATACTATCTTGTTTCAGTGGTACTCTAACTTAAATCAATATATGAAGAGAGTTTTTATTGACATGTGTGCTTGTACGTATGTATTTATGTTTGTTTGTTTGCGAGTGTGTGACTAAAATTCTACACACCTCTCTTTATGCTGAGTAACAGTAGTAAACACAGATTGATTTCAATTCTAACATATAAAGCATTCGATTTTGAATCATTGACAAATTTATGTCATCTTGTATAAAAGACTTGATAGTTCTGAGTTTGAATTGTATTTATGTATACACTTCTCGTCCACTCCTAACTTTTAATGAATCCTAAATGGAGGTTAGTAATAATGAATTCTGATGTTTATTGACCTTGCTGTCTTTAATTGTTAAAATGTTTTTTTAAGTCCTCATTACTGATTACACTTTCTGTCAGATCTCGATGAATTTATATATAATTTAATAAGTACAGAGTTCGGCAGTTTGTTTTTTGTTTTTCTATCAATAACTCTCCACAATATATGGTTGCCTTACTAGTAGAATACGTTTTTCATTTGACCTTTATAACTAAATGGCTTTAGTTAACATTGGCATTGAAAGATATACTACCATTGATCTGTCTCAATTAGAACTAACCAACTAACTGACTGAATTTGGTGAATTTAATTCATCGATTAACGCCAAAAAACAATCAGCTATCATTATTCCGAGACACCGAAAAAACAATGTTTATTTCAATTGAAATGAAAATAATATAATCGTATGTAATAATTTATTATAAGTGAGAGTATCAAACAGAGGAAGGCCAATCAACACATTACGCGGAGAAATAGAGAAAGATATGAGAGGAATGAACAAAAATTGGACAGAACTGGAAAGGGAAGCTCCGGATAGAGTTGGTTGGAGAAAACTGGTGGGCGGGCTATGCTCCGTTGCGGGTAACAGACGTAAGTAAGTAAGTAAGTAAGTAAGTAAGTAAGTAAGTAAGTAAATAAGTAAGTAAGTAAGTAAGTAAGTAAGTAAGTAAGTAAGTAAGTAAGTAAATAAGTAAGTAAGTAAGTAAGTAAGTAAGTAACAGTATCATACACAATACAATACAACCATACTAATTTTAGAATTGGAAGATTATTGCAAGCGATAAGATTATGAAGTAATATGACAGAAAAAATTAATCAACCTAAGGTTAAACCACATAATAAACTACATATTTCAATTTGAATCTTTACACATAACACCAATTCTGTCAATATTGTAGGTACATATTGCTTATTGATAAGTAATTGATAAGAACAAAATTTCAATTCCGAGAATTGTTATCAGTGCTCTTGAAATTAATTAGCCTTATTCTGAATTAACAACTGAGTGTTCTGAGTTTTTTTTAAGTCTAATAACCATGTAATTGAATCAGATTTACGGAACAGACAATTTAACATTTTTTTAGTATGTTCTAATTATTTGAAGTTGACCAATCAGTACACTTAATTTGTTTCATTTCAATGATTAATACAATCAGTTTAGGTCATGTCCTTCTAGAATAATCAAATATTTATTGATAAGCAAACATCTGAACAATTCTAATTCTTCCCTATTATGATCTCTTAATAATAGTCCATTTTCACACTATAACTCAGATCATTTCTTGATAATTCCGATATAATATATGTACATTTGTTTTGTTTAAATGAAATAAACGAATCCCAGTAAATTCCGCTAAGATATTTGTGCTTTCTTTATTCAGACACTGTTTCCAATTGACAATAAGTGGCTAGCAATAGAATCTATGATGCGTGTTTGTCCTATTAAGGACACATCAGCTGGATGTATCTGAATCTTAGAGTTGATGTTCGCACATATTCAAACAAAGATAGATCAAACTCCAGTCAAAAAATATCAAATACCGAATCGATTTCAAGTGGTATTCAATAGTGATTTTAAAGTATTCTTATATAATCAACAATATTAATTATTGTTTGCAAACAACATCCAACGTGGTTTTGAGCACGACAACAGGAAACTGAATCATCGGGTCAGTTTGAATGCTAGTGTTGTCAACTGATTGACGCAAGGTTACTTGTAATTTGTTGTTTACCAGCGATGGTGATTTCTCACTATGAATCACACCAACATCTTCTGTATGGATTAGTGGTCGTTCCTCTAGAATAGTTTGTGTGGATTGTTTACTGGCTACTGTACGTGATTGTGTTTTTATATCATATGTTTTTACAGCTGTTTTCAGAAATTCCGCTTGTATTTGCTTGTGTTCGACTTCCGAAGCCCGCCAAACTGCCTGAGTGATAGGTTTGATAGTATGTACCGTTAGCTCTTCTGTTTTCAAACACACATCTTCTGACGGAAGAGATACCATTGCTTGGAGTTTCTTGTTTACTGTTTGTACGTGATGTGATTCATGTCCAACACTGATATCTTTTATAATCGGTATTGTGTAAGGTTCGAGTAAAGTTTGTGTTTCTGAATCACATTTCACAAAACCTGATTGTGTTTGCACATTGATCGTTGGAGGCAGTCTCTCTTCCATAGTCTGAGATTGTGTGTTGATCGTTGGTTGCTGTACGACTGCTTGTAGTTTCTTGTGTACAGTTGGTTCTGGACGTTTCTCGTCGGTTGTGCTCACCTCTTTCATCTCGATCACTGTTTAACATACGTTTGTACAGCTTATGATGTTAGTAGACTTCCGAACTGAGTCTGAACATCAAATGTTTTTTAACTAGAACAACGTAAATGATTGTCGGTCTTTCACTCTTGCTCGTTCAGTTTGCGTCGGTGTCTCTTGTGTTTATGGAGCAAGATGCATTGTTTACACCACTCCCAAGTTGTTATTTATAAATCATCAGTTGATCAACTATCAAATTGTACATCCATGTACATCGGTGAAATAATTAAGAATACAACAATCTAAAAAAGAAAACACCCGAAATATAGTTTTAAAAAGCTATTTTTAACATAAAACAGTCATAGCATTTTCAGTTAGAGGTTTGGAGATTTGTGTTTTTACACATTTAAAATCATCAATCAATCATTGTTAGACCACCATTAGAAACCTGAAAGCACTGTACGGCCGTTTCGTCCTGGTATGGGAATCATCACCAGTGCGCATCTACAACTCCTGCACCTCGCCTCGCAGTATTTGAACCCGGGACCTTCAGTATTGTGCACGAACGCCTATCCATCGGACCACTGAGCCGGCCTCCAGCGGTGTTAATGTCTAACTCTGATTGATCTAGGGATTTTGCGTGACCGCACCCATTTGTCTTTGGTAGTAGTTACTGCCTACACTCGACAAGGTTGAACTCTATAGCATTAACAATGTGAATAAAACTAAGCAGAAACTGATAGAAATTAATATTGTACAATAACATATATAAACAAAGTGATTACATTTTACAATGTAACATTCACAATCATACAAGTGCAATTAATACAAATCTATACATTTGACATGATACATTGGTGAATTAGTGTTTCTGATAATTTCATGATTTTACATTGCACAACATTTCAATATTCACCAGTAAAATAATAAATAAATAAATAAAATTATAATTGTATGATTAAAACAAACTAAACAACTAAAGGCGTTTAATATATGTGTACCGACAAAAAAAAAATCAAATCAAATTATTGAATCACAAAAAAAAAAAATTCGATTTAAACTGATTGATCTTGTTGCATCATTTTCAAATACAAAATTTCAATTTATAAAGATCAATTTTATTTGGCAAGTGAACATTTAAAATAAGAGCAACGAACAGTTTGAATAACTGAAAATTAAAATGAAACGCTATGAGTAAAGTTAACAGGTTTATATTTACATTTATATACATAAATACACTATAATTTAGTTAACAACTCATCATTGGATTACTTCAAAATCGGATCGTAAATTATCCAATAAAACAAAACATAACTATTTCAATCAATACATCCTTTTATGATATTCACAAATAATTTTTTTTATGTTAATTATAAATAGATGGTGAAAATTAGTTGGAAATTTACACACGCCTCATGTTGACTCATACATATACTTAAATATATATTATCCAACATGACTATATAGATTTCGACAAAATAGTTTGATGTGGTATATAATATTGTTCCAGTATTAATGTTTTGATTGTGTGAATTCAATGTGATGGATGACCTCATCATCATCATCATCATTTGATTTTATTCATTTTGAACAATAGAAATAACATTTCTAATTGCTGTCATACATAATGCTTCTTTCTTTCTCATGGTTGTATTTGTCTGTCATTGTCTTTTAAGAGCATTGTAGGTAGACATGTCTCTGTGTGTGTGTGTATGTGTTATACACTTTGCATGTATCATGATAAACATTTCGAAGAGAAACTAACTTTAATTGTTCTAGGCAATTTATAGAATTTCTGTACACGTGTTTATACATCAGAACTATAAGATGATAATTGTTTTTTTTTTAGATGTGAATAACAAAACAGTTGATAGTTTGATATGATATCTATAATATCAGGAAAGTCTTTGACAGGATTGTTTTCTGGACAAAAGTCAACTCGGTGATATTGTATGGATGTAAGCCTTTTTGATTTTGGTGTGTATTATTGAAGTCAGATTCGAAATTCTAAGCAAAGTATTATAAAAATAAACTACAGTGTCACATTGGACATTCTGAATCGCTTTCCAAATCAAAGTGAAATGTTTATTGATATAAGTTCACACTGAGAAAACATTGTCCTAAGATGTGAATTTAGCTGGGTGATAAGAACGATGGTATGAAAACTTCTTAATTATATACATCAGAGACACTAATTAAAGACTTCATTTGACATGACTCACAATCGAGCAGATACACTGGTTCTGTGGTCTCTAAGTTGGATAGTTTAGTTGTGACTGTGACAAACACTATGCATAACAAGGTGGCTACCCTCTTTTTCCATATCTACATGAGTACTAGTTAGCTGTCACCATATAACATCTAGGTATCATTACCAAGCTTGAACTTGTTAGTTTCAAAGAAACTGAGCATAATAATAAAATAATCCTTTTTTTTAGTGATATCCCAATGAGTTTAAATTTGTATTCTTGAAGTTCCGCGGCTTAATGCAAAACACTTCTTCAGACTAAATAACTGATAAAAAATAACACAAGTTTGAATAAGTTCATACATATTAATTTATGTAGGCATAAGTTCAATTTGGTAAATGTCGAAACAATCATTAGAGGAAATACGAAACAAGTTAGAGAATATTAAGAAATTTGACACATATCAGTTATACATTGTTTGACTGTAATATAATCGTATCGTTAGTGATGTGGATGAAATACTTGATCATACCATCGTATAGCTTCGTTTGAAAATAATAATGCGGATATGAAAAGTTAAAAACAGATGTTTCAGGTGTTTACATTTTATACATTCATCTTGGGCAGACAAACTAAACGGAGAAGGAAAATGTGCCTATTTAATATAATTACACTATGACTCGATATTTAGAACCATGAACGATACATGCAACTGTAAAAACAAATATTCATACTGAGATGGTGGAGAAAACTTGTAGCTCAGGTGGATACTCTCATACAAGCATTTTAAAGTTTCATGAACAAACAGCACAACGAATAGAAAGATAAAAATACTTCATCTATCCAAAAATTGAGGATGAATCAAGTATATGTAATAGAACTACAACTCAATTCAAGCATCATTGAAAAGAGACTTTAAAATCGACTATTCAATAGCGGCTAATGTAATGTATACCAACCAAGTCCTTCGTAGTGCCGATCAAATTGTAATGTGACCACTATCCATCTCTACTTATAATGTTCGTGACTTAGTGGCTATATCGATGCAATACGCACAGGATGTACATATACGAAATGAGATTGACCAGTTGCATCCCTTACTACCAACGGTACGATTCAAACTACCGGTACAAATGAACTAATCTCCACATCATTGCAAAAGTCAGTGGTTGTCTGAACTCAATAGCTAAATGTACATCGGGATAGAGTTTAAAGCGAACGGTACTGAGTTTGAGTCTTGTAGCGAACATCAGCCCCGAGAATCTTGAATTCTACTGTTAGCCACTATCGGTCTCTGCCTATAAGATAATAATTGTTTGCAGATTTGATGAGAGTATGCATTGATTGGAATATTCATGTATTTTTCATCGGATAATTTTAGTTGAGATTTTAAAGTAATCCAATTATGAACCCACTATACATGAGATATTATTCAAACTAACACACAAGAGCAAATGAAACAGATTTAATTTTGATTTTAAATGATCAAGAGCAGCTGATAGAAAGTGTTGAGAAAATATTCCCATTTTGTTGTGACTAATCCATGTGAAATCCAAATCTATGTCAGAAATGATATCGTTAAAATCCAAAAAATTTAATATGTTTATTGTTATTGAAGGAGGTCAAACTGATTTGTAAAACTAGGTTATCAAACATAAACCGTAAATATAATTCAGTATACTGTCGTCGATAATTTCAAATAAATTGATTCTCTGAAGCGTTGGCTTACATTGAGTCATGAAACATCAAAATAATTTAAATTCTTTACTTTAAGATATTACAAATGTGATTTTTAGTAGTTACTAATCAATAAAATAAAAAGTGGTCTTTTATTTCATAGTCTGACGGTCCATGAGTATAAGTGGCTTACTGGAGATGATTTTTATTAAGAATAGGAACTAAATTAGAATTCTACATTGGCTTAAAACTGTTTATTATTCACTAGATAGTCTGATTCCTCTGTGATTCTCACAAGAGGACTTGTGTCCTTTCCTATAGACTGGGACAACCAGTGATTGAGACCAGTCAGATGGTATTACGCCCAGTTCCCATATTCTGCCTAAGATCTCAGTTAATCTAACTGCTGAAACTGGACCACCATCCTTAAAAATCTCTAGGGTGTCTGTCAGGTCCTGAGACTCGCCCTCGCTTCAGATGTCCTGAAGCTTTCTTAATTTCATAAAGATTCGGAGGACTTATATCGATTTGCCATTCAGGATGACTGGTGATTGTGGGCAACCAGTGTGGCTGAAGGCCAGTTGAACTGAGCCCTGAGGTGTTCTGTTCATCAATACAATCTCCTGGATCGAGAATGAATGATAAGACTACCCTTTCCTGAGATAGTTTCGCTAACAGATGGATTTGATTTGGCGGAACAGTTGTCTGCTGTTACCTAGTGCCACTGCCTTTTCCATCGCTTTTGCTTTCGTTATCCACCACTGTTCACGATCATTGCGTAGGCTTTTTATCACAGCCTGCGCCCAGGTTGACTTCACTCTTCACCAAGTTCAGAAACAGGTGGGATGAGTTTATGAGAGTCTATCAGTTCGGTAGACGCTGCTGAGATCCACGATCTCTCCCTAACCTTATAATTTACCTTACCAATAAATATCACTGGTTTCAACAGCCTTTTTGATATCATTCCAAGCTGCCTCAGGGTGGGCATCATTGACATGGCCGATTAACTGTTTTCCTAATTAATCAAGAAAGATATTCTTAGCTATTCTATCATAAAGTAGAACCCTAACAGGTTTCCTTGCGTCCAATAAGTCGCAAACAAATACGCGTCCGCACTAAAGCATGATATGAATTTAGACATGTGCCCCAGAACGAGCCTGTCTTCTATCAAACCCCTCCATCGGAGACTGATAGAGATGTGATCTAGTTGTAGTGCTGCTACTACTAATCATGTAATAGTAAGTTATAATATCCTTTATATAAATTGTTAAATCTTCCCAACAGATACTTTGTAAAATAGGAAATAGCAAATCTAATTCGATACTCAGTGTCATTCAATTTACCTATAGAGTAATTATAGTTACTATTTGCCCAACTTTTATTTATTATTATTAAAACGAATTTTGATAGCTATTTAATTCAGGATCATATTCAAGTTGAAATTGTCAGAATGTAAACGTGATAAAAGCCTGTTCAGTGAAACTATTCACTGACTATTTCAATAACCAGCACAACGCATAGGTAGTATAATAAAAATCACAGTGGGCAGATTACTTTCAACACCTTGAAAATCCCCAAGCGGAAATAGATAACACTATGTAGTCTGAAAAGGTGGGAAACCACACTTATCTGACTAATTTAAACTAATACATCGATGCTAGTATACATTGAATTATACATGATGATTTTTGTAGTGCGAGCATAATTCATACCAAGTAACGGCAGTTAATATATTCCTAATTGGAATTGAAGCGGAATAAAATGTTTACAAAGCGATCAAAACTTAATAGAATAAACGTATTATAACTGTAAATGATAAACTTTATTTATAACCACAACGTGCATCTCTTAATCTGAGTGATAATAACTAAAAACATAATCAACGTCTAGCCTCCTATCAACCAGTATTCGTTAAGACCAGTCAGCCAGTTATGGCCAAAGAATGAATGAATATCTTTGATCAGATTTGTTAGTTAATAGTCTTTGTATTTAATAATTGCGTAACCAAACCACATGATGTGATACACCAATTATCAACTTACGAAGATTTAGAAAACAATAGAAGCTAAGATGTGTTATTTTTGTTGTATATATATTATGATTGTTATTATTATTATTATTTTTAAGGGGGCAAAAGACTATCACAGTGTCAAAAGAAGTTGGACTAAATACGACACAGACAGCCAAAAGAAAAAGTACAAATTGATTAAAAGAAAAGAAAAGCGATAAAAAAGCTGTAACAAATGACTGACTAGGGGATGAATTGATACTAAAAAAGGAATTACAAAACTAAGAAATATATTATAAGTACAATTTCATAAAGATAAACAATTAGTGAAGGAAATAAAAATGAATAATGATTACTAGGTTTTTATTTGTTCAATTTGCATGAAATGAAGATTAGTAGTAGTAAGCAGCAACCATTATAATTTTTGCATACAATTTTAATTGAAGTGAAGCAAAATTTAGAAAATTTCCAAAAGACATGTAAAAAAAACGGGTGTTGAATTGATTACAGATGGTGAGAATGTAGTTCTTACTAATGGAATATATAATGAATAATAATAATAATTTTTAAGATTCTTATTGTGTGTTTGCATAGATAGATGTCTATTTACAGAAACGAATAATGTAACCAAGTAGTTATTGTGCAAATAAATTTGACAATACACATATGAACTAATTAGATTGAAATATAACAGAGAAATATCCAAAATAGTTATGAAAGACATTTTTTGTGCATAGATCATCTGATTCCATTGAACAAATTCAGTGAAGATGGTTGCATCTAATGGAAACCAGAAAAAGAACTCATTTACATGTAATGTTAGACAGTTTGAAATTGTGAAACACATTTGCGCATAATATAAAAATTCATTTACCATAATATTATACCTGTTTGTCTTATATAGAATTTACAAACATAATATTAACCGGTGTGATCCTATGAATATTGTAACTTTGTTCAACAACAAATGAATACTACTGTACTAAATGATTAGGATTTAGAATTCTCAAATATTCCGGTTGTTAATTAGTAAGTTAGGTAAGTAGAAATGCTACAATAATGATTAAAGTTTGGTATTGTCAAGCAATTACGAAGTAAACTTACAACAGAATATAAACTAATGAAGAAATATTAAACAAGTTACGAATTCGTATCACACCGACTGTAGATAGGTGAGTATGAAAAAATTATGGAACTTGCTCCACGTACAACACAAATTTAAATTAGCGGTACCGACTAGAACTTATACTGACAAATTAATGCTACGTCTATGAAGAAGATTAATTTGACAGCTTTTGTGTGAGAATTTATGTTGTCCCGTTTGATAGTAAAAGTAAACAACAAAAAGCTAATGTTTAGGATACTAGTAAAAAATTCGTCACACAGACATGGTTCCGCGCATAAATCGTTTACAATATCTGGAATTATATTAATTGACTCGGCTGCTGGTCAGAGATGTGATGGCTCTGTTACTAGTTAACATCCGACTATAAACAGTTTTAATAAATTCAGTGTACTTAATCAACTCGAGAACTAAATTGGCTATTAATTAATCAGAAGTATTGTGTTGTACATGAACAGCTGTTATTATAAACTGTCGATGAGCTATCAGTCAGTGGGCCAGTTACAACGTAGAAATTCGTACACACGTACGTCAGGTTGCCATACCACATTAGCACAGAGACGCAATTGTCAATTCGAATCCCGTAATCGTAGAAATATTAGAGGTAATGGAAAAGACTGTGATTCGAAGAAATTATCCAACAAGAATAATTCAGAGAGAAAGGTGATGAGGAATTCAGAAGATTATCATTTGAGAAAAACAAAGAGTAGATGAACCTACACCATTGAAAAGGTTTTAATTCATATCGTTCAAGGTCTCTAACCATCGGTTACTGTCATCTGGAAAAACCAAACGAGGTAAACATCACCTACCAACACGGCTCAGTCCAGTTATCAATGAATTCGTGTTCTGGTTTAGCTGCTCTAAGCTTTCTTCTAACCTACTTCTACACAAAACATAGCTCGACGAGGCAGTTGGTAGTAGGGCATATGTAACATATGTCCCAACCGTCTCGACTTATGAAGATTCATCACTCCACCAACTGGTTTGTCATGCTTACCTAGTACTCGTTTCCTAACAACTGCACTGCCAACTCGATTGTCCCACGATATACGAGCAATTCTTCTAAGAAACTTACGACCGAACACTAGTGACCTACGAATATCTTCTACTCTGAAAGGCCATGTTTCGCAACCGTATCGTAGGACGGGGCGAATTGCTGCGCATTACACTCGTCCTTTGGTTAGCAAACGGATATCTCGCCTGCGACATATGTGACGCAACTTGGCAAAAGCCAGTCGAGACTTCTGTTTCCGTGTTGAGATTTCGTCAGTCACCAAGCCATCAGCACTGATGAGACTCCCCTGATAAGTGAGGGGGTCGACACGCTCAACTGCTTCACTCCCTATCACTAGTTCAGGTGCCGATACAAGCCAATCCTGAAGCAGCATTTAGCACTTTGAGGGGTGAAATCGCATCCCGAATATGCCAGCATTGTTGCTTAGGCTAGTCAGAAGACTCTGCATTTTGTCAGCGTCTTCACCAAGTAGGACTATGTCATCAGCATACTCTAAGTCAGCAAGCGATTTCCCTGGCAGAAGGATCCACCCCTGAAAAGTCTGACGAGGATAATGTGAACTCTAAAAGCATGTCTACGACAAAGCTAAATGGGAATGGAGACAGGACATCTCTGACAAACACTAATTGAATTGATGAATTCCGATGACCGTTCGCCATAAGCTACCACACGTTTCTAATAAACCTGAATGGCTGACCAGACACACTGTGATCAACTATTTTGGAGACTCATCAAATAATTGCTACATTGTTTCTAAGTGAATGCAAGGCAGGCATGTTATCGACAGCATACACCACAGGTATAAAAATTTCATACCCAAATGTAGAGAGAAATCAAAACGCGAGCATCATATCAACAGATCGTATAAAGTCAACATAAAAACAAAACTTAATACACTTACTTTTGGAGTTTTGGCCTTGGTAAATATATTCCAAAAGCGCAGTGTTTCATCTCCTGCACCAGTTACTATATTTTCACCATCTGGACTGATCGCTAAGTACAACACACGGTATGAATGCCCAACCAACTTGACTAATTGCGTTAGACTAGGGTATCTCCAAACAAGAATCTGATTCTGTGAGTAACCATGTGTACTCACTAATTCATTACTATGTATGGACCAGGCAATATTACAAACCTAATTAAAATATAAAACAGTTGATAGTAGAGGAATTTCTAGTATTTATTTGAGCCTACAGTCAAAAATTAAGTCTTTATTCACATATAAATTTACTAAGTACACGAAACTTGCCACTACGATAGTAAATTTTCAGGTCGGTTCGTAAAGATATGGGCTTGCACTTATAACGCAGAGATTATGGTGTTTATAGCTTCTGACAAAACGGTTTTGTAAATAGTAAATGCTACATAACCGATTGCTTTAAATAAAACACCACAACATTACGATCTAAATTACTCAATCAACTAGGAAGAAATGACTAAAATGTATTTGTTTATATAAAAATTTGAAGAGATGTTTGCAAAGATATAACTTGCTTAAAATGTAATAAAATATTGAATATAAATTCAACTGCTAACATACTTTAACTGCGTCTACATATAGATTATACGTTTATAAATATAGGAAACTAGTTGAAGCAACTATCTACATTTGATAAACCCTGAAAAATTTTTCCAAGACATGAATATCATTCATTTAAAATGTGTACTTTATGCCAAAAACAAATAAGTTGACTTATTAAGTAACAAACTTTACATACTCTAAGGTATTTTTGTAGCTATAACATTGATAATGCTTGCACTAAATGAACATCTAGCTTTATGTGGTTTCAAAATCGGAACAACAATTGATTCCGTAAAATCTATAATTTAATTCCCAACCTACTTCTCGATTTATAATTAATAAAAATAGCAATTTTTAAACCAGGATTATAAAACTACACAGTCAGTCAGTCAGTTGCAACGTAGAACTTCGTACGTATGTACATAAGTTCATGTTGCCATACCATCACATTAGCACAGAGACGCAAATGTCAAATCAAATCCCATAGTGATAAAGATAGTAGAGGTATTAATGTTATAATAAAGAAGACTAGGGTTTAAGATATTATTCAAAAAATATAATTCAGTGAGATAAGGTTAGAAAGACAAAGGTAGATGTGCTGACGAATCCAGAAGATTAGGATTTGAGAGAGCTCAAAGAGTGGATGCACCTGCGCCATTGCAAACGATTTTGAGCCATGTCGTTCAAGGTCTCTAACCATTGATGACTTTCGTCTCGCGGACCCCAACCAGGTAGTCTACATCTACCAACATGACTCAGTCCACTTGTCAGTGACTTCATGGATTTGTGCCATGTTTTGGTCTGGCCGCCCCTAGCTTTCTTCCAACCTACTCCTACACCACAAAACTACACACAGAATGGATCACTTACCTGACTTCCGGTATCAACGCTACGTAAAGCTTGACCAGTTAATGTATTCCAAAATCGGATACAGCGATCAGCTGTACCACCTCCACTTGCAAGCAATCCGTGTTGATGAGGTGACCATGCAATTGCTTTGACAGCAGCCACATGCTCTTCGTAAGTTAAAACAGGACCACCGGTAGATGGTGCATGTTGGCTCCAAACGAGCAGACGATTATCATTACCGCCTGATGCTAAATATTGACTGTCTGGAGACCATTTTAACCCACACACCTATTGAAATTACGACAACATAATTAAATGATAGTGGATTTGATTTGCAAAAACGAAATAGGCTAACAGTGAATAAATAAATAAGAATATGAGTTTTTAGATAATGTGAACAAAACGCAATTTGTAATCACTTCATGGTAAAACACGAAACTTGCCACTACGATAGTAAATTTTCAGGTCGGTTCGTAAAGATATGGGCTTGCATTTATAACGCAGAGATTATGGTGTTTATAGCTCAATTAAACCAGTGAAGGTAAATAAGCAATTAAAAATTTACATCAAAGAGAAATATCAATGGAGTGGACTTGTATACAAACCTCTTGTCTATGATCCTTTAGTACGCGAACTGCCCCGGGAACAAGACGATCTGTCCCATTTTCGATCGACTGTAAAGCATTAGTTTGGGTGACAGTGGAATTAGTTGCATTTCTTGGCGTAGACCATGATGATCCATGCGGATCCGTGTCCCGAAGCCCAAGCATTTCTACATCCATCTGGGCCGGTGTACTTAAAGGGTCAACTTCCGCAAGGTCTCCACTAACTGGAACAATCGGTGTCGAAGCCCGCGGGTAGTTAAAATTACTTTCTCCCTGACCAATGTGACTTGGTGAACTAATGGTGTTGGGATCAGCCATAATCTCATCCCTGTCAGCAAGTTCAGCGGCTATTACAGAAGTATTAGAGGGGTTTGTGGTAGGTAGTTGACCAGTCGGACCACCACCAGAATTGGCTGAAGCACGTGTATCACGTAACAAAATATAACGGTCCCTGCTACCAGATGCTAAAAGATCAGCATTCCACGCCAAAGCACCAACGCGAGCAATATGTCCGTTTAGTGAGCGTATGCAGGAACTTTTTGTAACATCCCATATTTGAACATGACCACGGTAAGTTCCGATCGCTAAATGACTTCCCTGCAAAATAAATTGAAAGTAGTACTTAGAAGCACTTAACATCAAAACAAAACAAATTTAGGCGAAATAAATTACGGCTTTAAGACCTCAATATAAGGTTGTATTGTTTCAAATGTATTGTCTACTTTGTTTACATATTTATGCAGTAAAACCATCTATGTTATTAGATCTTCAGCTATTTTCCTACTTGGACTTGTTACAGCTTGTGCGTTAAACAAAGCTGGTCTTGATATTCGTCACCTAGCTAGGTCTACAGTAAGAAAACTGTAGCATATTGTGGTTAGTTAGGAATATTTTGAGATATAGGAATAGCTTGGACGAAAGCCAAAACATGGCCGAAATCCATGAAGTCACTGACAAGTGGACTGAGTCATGTCGGTAGGAGTCGACTAATTGGTTAGGGCCCGCGAGATGATAATAATCGATGGTTAGAGACCCTGAATGACATGGCTCAAAACCGATTGCAATGGCGCAGGTGCATTTACTATTTATGTCCCATGAAATTCTGACCTTCTGAATCCCTCATCACCTCTACCTTTCTCTTTCTAAATTTACCTCACTGAATTATACTTCTTGAATAACATCTTCGAACTCTAATCTCTCTGATTACTTCTAATACTTTTACTACCTCTACTGTGGTGCTGTGGTGCGAACTACTTATAAGTAGTATATAACGTGAGTGTCAACGTAAAGTCTGGTAGCATAATATGGGGGGAAGATCAAGAAAGGAAGAGTTAGAAAACAATTCGGTTTCCCCCACCTGTGTTCTCATTCACTACACTACTACTATGGGAGTTGAATTGACAATTATATCTCTGCTCATGTGGTATGGCAACTTGAACTGCTGTACCTACATGCAAAGTTCTACGTTGCTGTTGATGATGATGAAATATAAATTTATGAATGGGATTAGTCTAGAAATTACCTCGAACAAACAAAAACTCGCCAGTCAATAAAACGAGCCCACACCAACCTTTCAAAAAAGGGACCGGAATCAAAGCATGACGAAATAGCACGGAAACCAGTGCTGACAAATGTGAATATTACTGAAAACTGAAAGGAGTAATGTAAATGAAGCTGTCGGTGAAGTTTCATTCAATAAACTACTAACTTTTTTCAAAAAATGCATTTACATTACTGCCTTTCCACCAATGATTAGTTAGTTCGAAAAGTTTGCCAATATTAATGGGCTTGTTATGCAACAAACTGGATGGATAGATTAAATTGAAATTTTTTACAGTGAAATTATACAAGTGAATAAATATAAACTTGATATTTTGTAACTGACACAATAACCAAAAGTATCTTAACATGAGTCACATAATAAACGATTGGAAATATTGACTTTATCAAAATACCTTTTTGGACCATGCAACAGATGAAATAACATCAGTTTCCCCAGAAACATCACATAATCGAGTTACCTAAAAAGTAAGAAATCAGAATATTTATTACATTGAGAACTTTAGAGAAAACTTGTTCAAAATAAAGTCAACGAACGATACGATCATCTTACCTGGCTAGTGAAAGCATTCCATAAGTAGACACATGTTCCTAACCCGACTGCCAGTACATTCTGAGAAGACCAATCAACAAGATTAAGGTAAAAATCGTCTTGCAACTCTGGAGCATCGAGAACCTTATAGGGTACCCGAGATATTTTACGCGCTTGCTGTAAGAAAATTCATGAAAAACAATAAAACATGACGGGACTGGTAAAGAAAATTATCAATCTGCCCATTATAACGTCAGTAACATTGAATAACTAGACTGTGTTCCAATAACAAAAGTAAAGACCTCTCGATGAAAATAAAGTCATAATTACATTTTCAAAATATATTCTGTCTACTCACCTTTTGTGGAAATTTCAACAAATGTTGACTTTTTTCAGATACTGGAGACATGGTATACGGAGATGTTTTTAATTTAAATGGACTCTCTCTTCTAAGTTTGAACTGTTAAACACCGGGGAAAAAAACAATGGGGAGATGAACACATTTTATTTATAAGTACATAATCAACTAATCTCATTTAATGATAAGTTTCATAAACATGAACACCAGCGTACTAACTTAATGTACAGTTGGGTGACGTTAGAGGTTGCCTGAAATCCCTAAATCATATTTGAGGTAATGGAACAGAAGACTAATAATAACACCTCCAGAATCAGTTTAACGGCAAAAAAGCGTTGGCGGTTACAAATGTAAATAATACTAGGTGGGAGAAATAACAATGATCAGACTGATCAGTCAGTCAGTTGTAACGTAGTGCAGCGTAGAACTTAGCATGTACGTACATCAATTCAAGTTGCCATACCATATTAGCAGATACACATAAAATTGTAAAACCAAATCCCAATAATTATGGTAGTGATAGTATTAGTAGTAATAGATCAGTTAAAAAAACAGTAATTCAGATTAAAATTTGGGGGAGGACGAAGAACAGATGCACCTATGCTGTTGCAAAAGATTTTGAGCTATCGTATGTAACCATAGGTTGTGACCATCACAAGGACCTGGTTAAACTAATACCCCGAAATAATATAATTGTACGACAAGATAGTGAGCGACTAGTCAAAAACAAATTGGATATGACGCTCTTTAAATGTCAATTTAATTTTTGAACATTGCAAAATATACCATGTCCAGTGATGTTATCATCGAACAACTACATAACTAATTATGTATTGTGATTAAGAATCTGCTTCAGTTACCTAATTGGAAAAAAGTTGTGCTTTAAAACCTAGGTTTAATAATTAAAACCATAACATATCTTTATTGTATCTACAAAAGAAAATGAAGTGTCCAACGATAAGTCAAATACAATGACAAACGGTTTTAAAAATCTTTTGTACATGCTTAATGAAGACCAAGTAGGCTTTGTAAAGCACCAGAAAATCGGGTGTAAATTTAATCAATTTCTTAGGGTTACAGATATAACTAGATGCAACTATAGAACAACGTAAAAAGATCCGAATGATCTTAAAAAGTGCACATTTACTTTCATTCATGCTATTAATTCCGGTAACTTTAAAGCCGCTGCCCAATTGTCTAGCACCGAAGATCATGTTAGATCTTATTCCCACTTGCAGCTTATAACAACAGAAATTAATGGCAGTGAGTCAATATACGTCAAATGTTTCTGAAAAACAGGACTGTAGAAGACGAATGTGCCTGCTTGCAAAGATCCATCGGATGGACGCATTCAGCCTAATCAAGATCTGGATAGTCCTTATTTGCACATTATTTATCTAGCAAAGGACTACTAGGTCAGATTAGCAGTAGCACATCACATGACTGACTTTACAGATTACACGCCCACTTTTTATAATTCCGAGAGAAATAGTGTGACTCAAAATAGCTAAGACGAAGAAAACAACACTAACGCTCAGTTTATAATCAACGGACTACTTACCATAGTCACGATCGACGGTTAATTGGATGATCAGTCACTAATTATACTACTAAAACAGTGTCATTCTTACGGACTAACAAGTTATGCATATTTACGCTCACAAAATTTGAATCTCTGATATGGATAGTCTTACAAACATCTAGACAGTTTCAAAAACATTAAGCGACAACCGGTGAGAATATTTGCTTATATTTAGCCTATTTTTCTTACACAGCATGTATATGAAAATATTGGCCGAATTGTAAACTTTCTCCCTATAAGACAGGCGCACTAACTAGTCACTTGACGTTTGTAATGTCGACATTACGACAACTAACTCGACAATCCAGCATTAGTTCAATAACGAACTGTCAAGAACAAAATGGTCGTTTTCAGATTTGGGAATCTGAGATAACACTAGCTTATGAAGGTGCTAGTCGTTACTTTGACGCAATTTTCGGGCAATACAAGCAACCACACACTCTGATACTCGAACTTACGGAGAACATGTTGTTATTTTCTCTAGCTGAAAGAACACCAGAATTGCCGAAACCGCATCTTGAATTCACAGGGCTATAGGCACCACTCAATGAGGCTTCTTCAAGTTCGTTTGCAACAAGAGCAGAAAGAAGGTCACAGCCTCTCGCCTCTGTTGGCGGTACAGGTTCCTGTATAACTGAATTGACTCCAGATGTTCCCCAGTTACTTTCTCCAGCAAGAGGCGCGAAGCCATGACTTTGATAACCATTTTGGTTTGGAGAATCAACATCGTTACAGAGTCCATCAGCATTTCCACGACTAGATTGAAATAGCTTACGCGTGGGGTTACTATTCTGTTGCTAAAACCCAGGAAATGAAATTGCTAACAATCTAACCTCGAAAGTCGATGTTTTCCAACGTGCATTTGCTCTCAGTGGGATATATCGGTCCATATAATTTTCCTTCGTTGGAGTCTTCATTGGGCTAACTGTTTTAATTGGCTACGGAAATAAAAACAATACGATGCGTACCGATTTATAAGGAGACCCTAGCAACCGTTTTTCATAACCCTGCTCCATGATTGACTAAACTATGTAACTTCAGCCTTTAGTAATTTTGACTGTATTATCAAGGTACCTTGTGCGATGTGGGGATGTGAGGTTTTCTGGAAAGGGAAAGAGAGAAAAAGTGAGGCGGCGATTCAGTAAACACATAAAATGCACTTACTTTTAAAAGAGAAAACAATCGACAAAAATTAGAAATGACATATGCACGAGATTAAGACAGACCGCCGACTGGAACTAGCAGTTTGTAACTTTAAGTTTCGAATGCGTTACAACTGACTAATCCCTGAAGAGCGCCTAAAGGGGAGGGACATAAACAAATTTCAATCCTCAATTTGTTCAACCAATGAACAATTTTAAATTCCTCAGTTTCTTTGTTTGCCGTTTCATAAAAATGGTGTGGTTCTCATATTTTTACTGTTTATCGGTCTAAATCTTAGATGTGGAAAAAGAGAAATACCATCTTAAACCACCTTTCTGGTGTTAACAAGTAGCAGTGGATTACTGATGCCTAGACAATTTTCATCTGAACTCCTAAGTTTAGTTCTGTGTATGGTCTTTCGCAAGAAGGTGTAAGTCAGCATAATCTACTTTCCAGTAAGTAGTATCTGTAGTCTATGGGATCCATTAGAGCATTGAATTCCTGTAGAGTAAGGACTCCCATATCACTCCGTATAAATTTATTTGTGACTTGATAGCAAGTTTTAGTTGTAATGCACTTCACAGGATCAGCCGTTATTTTTTAAATGTCAGATCACTGCAAAAGTTAACTTATATACTTTTGAATACTATTCACTATACTCATCACATGTATTTGGCTGGATACACGACTGAAGCTCCTTTACGTGACATGATTACAGTCCAAATATAATTCGCTGCTTCTCAATAAGTGCACGTATTTTTTCTAGCTTGGTGCGAGCTTTATCGCCATACCCTCTTTATCATCCTTTCGATAACCTGCTTTCAAGATTAATAACTTCTAATGGAGCGTCACATTTACATTTTCCCCATCCTCGTATAGTCATAAGTCCTGTATATCTGTAGGAATGGAATTAATAGTGTTCTAGCGAGCAGCCCGAAGTAAATACAGCCGCGAAAGGATGAAAGTATGTATGTTGGCCACTTTAAGACATGGTATCAGTGCCTTTAGCGCTTGTTCGCACAACATTAGTGCAACTCCTTGTGTATGTGAGGTATTTTCTTCTGCATGACCGGAGTACAACAGCAGCTCTCCTGAACCTAGTCCAACATGCAGCTAATGTGTTTCACTGATTCCAAGCACATCCACGATGTAACTTTTCAGCTGTGCAGCAATTCGGAATAGTATTCCGGTCTCTCACATTGTTCGAACAGTCCATGTACCTAAAAGAATTGTTGTGCTGATTGTAAAGAAGAGAATCGACCTCGTAACTTCCGAAGGAACTCGGATTTCGTCATGAGACGTCATCACTCCTCTGAAAGATGACCTTCTAACTCCCAGGGCAGAGTTAGAACGGTTTGAGTTATTTTTTACGGTTAGCTACATTTAGCGAGTTAGTTTTCTACGTAATGGGCGTACAGCCCTACGCCTGACTCCCCTTTTTTATCCGGGCTTGGGACTGGCAGTAGCGCCCGATGTGTTCCATGCGGAGTTATTAATACGTCAATCTACCCAATCTACCAATATCTGTGAAGCAGAACATTTTGTTTGATTGCGGCTCCTTACAACCTGGTAGGACGCAGCTTACCATTGATATTTGTGTTACTTCTCATGTAAGCTACGTCTTTGACTCACGTTTGTAACATTGAACTGGTCTCCATTCCTGCCGAGAAATCCTATTGCAAACTGACCTAGGTAACTTTGTTGGAAAGGAGTTCACCCATGACTCATCAAGTAACAGCGATTAAAGAAACATTAAACTAAATATCGCTAGTGCATCAAATCACTGTGCCTTACTAAATTCTATACATCTACATAATTTTTAATGATTCTCTTCTTTTGAATAATGTAATCATTAGCTCATTCCTTTCCAACTACTGACTAGACTTCATTGACCTACATATGAACAATTGTGCAATAAATGATCTAATCGTAAACAAAAAAATTAGAATAATCATATCGCAAGTTTTGATTCACATCTGCTTCCGTTAGGTCATGATTCAACTAGAATTACGATTATTTTTTTGTTCTTGCACTCTCCCCTTTCTCTTTCTCGCTTTTTTTAGAACCGTTTTGATCCAGCAAGGGAAGCAGATGTGGAAAATATCACTTCGTCCTACGCCTTATATGATAGCTATGCTAATCCCGGTGATTTAAAGTTGTATTTACCAGAACCCTGTAAAAATATTGTCTGAAGAATACCATCAAGAAGATCAATATGCATTATCTCATCAATTCTTACTGCATGCAGATATGGACATAACCTGCAATAATTCTTGACTACCAGTCGTTCATTACAACGCAACCGACACGATTCGCACCAACTATCTTATTGTTCACTCCAAACGTTATTTACAGTTGTTTGCGTAAAGCATTATCCCTCTGTGGTAATGGTCAGTGAATCTTGTAAAATACCTATCAAAATGAGCAAAACATTGCAGTGTGTTATCATTTGCAAAAATTGATCGTTCCTGTAAAGTGGCATGCCGTATATAACATTGCTGTTTGAGAATGAATTTTTATTTGATTATATCTCTTTAATGAACTATTAAGGGAATAGTGTACTTTATATTAGAGATGAACAAATAAATGAACTGATTGTTAAGGAAGTTTTTCGTGCTATGTATACTTTGGCTCTTAGCACTACTGCGATTTGTTTTGATAAGCCTACACACGTCCTATGTAGTAGTAGTAGTAGTAGTAGTAATAGTAGTAGTAGTAGTAGTAGTAGTAGTAGTAGTAGTAGTAGTAGTAGTAATAGTAATAGTAATAGTAGTAGTAGTAGTAATGCTGGTGATCAGGCTTTGGTTTTCATTGAATTGATTGGCAGCTAGCTTCATTTGAAATTGTCTCCTGTCTATTCGAACTTTGGTATTGCATCTGTTTCTCAATGCCAAGTGAGAGCTATGATCGGAATCCTCCAAGGAGACCTTCCACTTGTGCCAGGCTCTCCTCTTCACCTGTAACAAGCGTTCAGTGCCGCGCCTAACCCAGGTTCTTCTATTCTCGCAGGTGTGGAGTGACTGAGGTACATTTTCTACGACAGCGTTTTGGATGATATCTCGCACTGTTTGCCAGTTATCATCTACTGTCAGCCTCCACCACTCCCGTGGCCATGGGGCATGTAGGAGGAATTCTCTCATGCGTGTATAGTTTGCCCTATTGTTGCAAAGATAGGGCTCGTTATCGTCCTGTGTGAGTTTTGGTTTATGACCATGTTAAACAAGACTGTGCCATGGTCATTACTACCTATTGGTGCGCCGACGTGAACATCCTCAACCAGGAGCTGGTCATTTGTTAACAGATAATCCATGTTTGAGGACTTTTTTTCCTTATTCCATCTAGTGGCACTTCATACGTGCTGAGTCAGCCCACAGCTTCTAATGGCTGTATCAAGTTGTCTTCGGAACCAACCAGTGGGAGTTATACCCTGATTGCTGAGATTTAAAGATGGGGTATTGAAATCTCCAGCTATGAGTATTTGATCAAACCTCAGGAGTGGCAGTTACAGTATTACCTCAATCAGTTTGCTTTTCTAGGCCTCAGTTCCTGAAGGAGGTCGGTAAATCCCTACAATCAAGTATTTCGTGCCATTCGAGTGGAAACAACACCAACATGATTCTGTCACCTCAGTTAGTTGGGTGTCGTATAGTCACTCTGCTTGTAAGTGGCTATTTATATATATAGCCACTCCGCCTCCAGTTTGGTGTTCCCTATCGCTTTGGAAGAGTGCCATGCTTGGCAAGCTCACTTCTTCGTCTGCAATGTCAGGGGATAGCCATGTTTCAGTTAGGATTATGGTCTTCAGATCCATCTGAGAGCACATATTCCTGATTTATAACAGCTTACCCCTTAGTCCTCTGACGTTGCTATAGAGGCACTTGGTGGTTTGTCTCAGCACCTGGTGCACTTCTGCAGCAGCAGCCGTCGTCGGATTTCCAGACAAGTTATTCAAACAGAATCGGCCAGTTCTGTGGGAACTGAACTCTGCAGGCTTTTCGCATTCGCGGTTGATTCAACCGTGTCTTGTGCCAGAGGTAGCTGACCGAGTTTAACTGTCAGTTTTGTGCGTTCATTTTGGCCTCCTTGCTGTAGTCTCACAGATCTAGGTCGGCTTTCGCAACGCCTGATGTGGCTAGACAGATCGTTCCTCAAACTGTACCAAGCTTGGAGTGCGTCAGTCAAGTCTTCCCGGTTCCTAAATGTCACAGCCATCAGGCGTGCTGACTTGATGGACGTAAGATGTGACGGGCGGGGCAACCTAGAGATGCGAACAGCCATCGTAGTGTGAAGGGACACGCTACGCGATAGCCATCGCTACTGTTGCACATAGTGCTCGTAAGCTTCGTCCGGGTAATCGCCAGTGAGTTCGGGTACACCGTGAACTACCATGGTGGTCTGCTCTTGGGTGCCTGGCGTAGTTCTGGCTGCCGCACGTACCGACCACAGCTTGTCACTCCCGATGCGAATCAGCGAGGGCAATTTGACTGATGGTCTTTGGGATGAAAGGATGATGTCTTCAACAAGTTGTGCCGACTCAAGAGTTACCCTCAATGGAGGCGGTTTTCCTTTCGAGACATTTTGGCCTTTGAAAAGGCGGCATATTTTGGCTGGGACGTCGCACATTCCGAGGGTTGTGCAGTGTTTATCCCACTTCTATTTTTCGAAGGCATCCCTACCTTCTAGAAAGCTTTCTTCCGATACTGGGACATTAAATAAAATAAGTGAGTATGATCTGTCGTCCCTGTTCTTGGGTGGTAGCCGCCTGTGAGTTGGGCTGTTGCTATTTCCTTTCTTCACGTTCACCCACGGTCATCCTTATGCTGTTTCCGGACGTTGGACTGTGTCGACTAAGCCATGGAACGTCTTTTTCTCCTATTCTTAACTAGCTTACTGGTCTTTTTAGGAACAGGAGTGGTGTCTTGCTTCCTCTGTGGTGTTGGCGTTGAGTGATCTAAAGTATAGACACTAGGAGGCATACTATCGACTGACTATTTGTGTTTTTTAACAACCCATTCGCATGATATTGGGATTTTCGACGCACTATCGGCCCCGGAGTTTATGCCTCTACAAGTTTTCCTGGTTGTCATAGTGTAATATGTACTAGCGAACTTATTACTTGACATGATACCAGGGAGATTAGGAGGTGAAGACCGAGATAATTAGAATACGAGATGCAAAAAAGGATTTAGGAAAGAAGAAATTTAGTAGCATTTAATAAAACTACAAGGAATAGAGCCTGAAAGTACTCCAAAATTGCAACTTTACCTTTGACCGTATTAGTAAGTAACTTTGCGTGTATCCAGTAACTTGTCCACAAGTCCTGTGTTTGTGAGTGAGTGGATGTATGTGTGCTGCCGAAGCAACTGGAAAAAGAGCAGTTGAATGAGGCAGATAGACCAACCGCACAATGGTTCTGGCTTGGAATGGTTCCGTTTGCCCGAAAATGTTTTCAGATTGTCAAGCAATGAACGGAGACAACTTTTTATAGCTTTGGGGGTGATAAAGTATCCCGAAAGTGGATTGTTTCCCGTAAATGGAAGAGAGTCAGCGAAGACACGTCAAATTCGAAGCGCGCGCTTGGTATATCATGGTGGTGTTTACCAAAATGCATGATGCCACATTTATCATGGTTAAAATGCAGCTGCCATGTTTTGCTCCAGGTAGTTAAGTTATCAAGATCACTCTGAATCCTGGATATATTTCCATCCAGATCTTCAGATTTATAGCTGTATACTGTTTTCATATCATCAGCATTTAAGCGTGTTCTTCCCAATCTTATAGTATTACATATATCGTTTATGTACATCAGAAACAAGAGTAGACCTGATACACTTCCCTGGATAACTCCACTGGCTACTGATCTTGGTGATGATAGGCAATGGTTGTACTTAACCATTTGTAGGCGCCTATTTATGAGTGAAGCAAACCATGCATGTAGTGGGTTACTGATTCCGAATGACTTTAGTTGAAGGAGAAGCCTTCTTTTTGGGACCTTAACAAAAGCCTTCCTAAAGTCGAAGAATAGGACTGATACTAGAAGCCCTTTTCTTGCTCTTGCGTGATATAGTGGAAATAATCTATCAGGCATGTGTCACATTACCTAGGCCTCAAGAAACCATGCTATGAGGTCGATATCAGATTGTTATTAAGTAGACGTTACATCAACCTAGATACTACCGAAGTTATGTTTAGGGTCGGTAATTTTCAACATTCGCTGTGGTCCCAGATTTAATTGTGGGGATGATATGTGTAGTCTTCCAGTTAGTAGGGTAACACTCTGTGGAGAGTGATATAGTTAATAATTTAAGCAAAATAGCACACAGATCATTGTTCCCATTTTTCAACAGGGTGGGTGGGATACCATTTGTTCCTTCAGTGTAAGAGTGCTTCAGTGTACTAATCCCCTTAGAAATGTTCTGTACATTGAAGTCAACACTGGCGACTTCACAGGAAAGAAGTAAGTCACATGTAATTAATTTTTTGGGTCTTCTTTTGTTAACGTAGCACAAAAATGTTCGCTAAACAGCTCTTCCATACTTTCAGGGTCTTCATGCACTTAGTTGTCCTTAATATATATGCTCCCTCCTTTCACTTTAGAGCACTTAAGTTTATTTCGAAGGAGTTTAACAAGTACAGGTGATTCATTTTTCATCTGAACAGCACGCTTTTCCTATGAAATTGCCTTTTTAGTACGTATTATCTCTGCCTCGACACATATTTCAGTCATCGTTACAAATGAGGAGAAGCCATTACAGTTATGAAGTCTAGGAGCGTGTCTTCGAAGATGTTTTCGCGTATGACCTAGCATATATAAGTCCTTAGAAATTTTTGGTTTCCAGGATCCTGAGGGTGCAAATTTATTGAATACATTATTTGCTTTGTGATAAAATACATTCATTAGTTCATCGGTATTGTTTGCGGCAAAGTAGTCAGTCTAGTCAATGCTCATGAGACGATTCCGGAAGCTTTTCCGATCAATCCCACGAAAGTCCCTACGAAATGTAGTGGATTTACGTTTTATAGTTGTAGCTCCTATATAAAGGCCGCATATGACAATATTATGATTGCTATCTGGAAAAGTTTTTCCAACATACACAGTATTAGTAATAAGATAGTTGGTTAAAACTAAATCCAATGTATTTTGATTTCTGGTTGGGCCGTCAACATGTTTAGTCCAATCTCCGAGCTATAAGCAATCAATAAATGATTCGAATCGTTGAGGTGCTTTGATCGGGAACGAAGAGATTTCAGG